CTATATATATGTATTTTAAAATTCATAATATTTACAGATATATCTTTCCAGTATTGTTCCCGCGTATCTTTTAAAATCGTATCTTTTTTTATAGCGGTTGATAATATCTACGAGTTAGTGCCACTAAATGCGACTATTGCTACATTTTACGTTTATATAGTGATTATAAGAAATAAAAGACTCGATTTATACACTATGAATATATTCATATTCAGATGAGTGAATTCTCTATGAACTTGCCTTACGTAATATATACATGCAAATTGTTCGCGACGGAAAAAAATTACGAAACGGGAATGGGGACAACGTTTTAAACAAATATCATTTCCGAAGCTTGGCTCTGCGACGAATAGAGCGTGATTCATATGTATTGTGTAATACAGACATGCGAGGATATAACATGTATAATTTACCATAAATTATCATTCTCTATATTTGTTCACAATTCAGATTACAATAATTATTCTTCATGTGTTTTTTGCAGAATGGAATTCCTATTTCTTTTTATCCTTTCCGATCGTATCCCTTTTCATAAAAACATGTACGTAACATTAGGTAGACGCGTATAGTTGGTAATTATGTATACATATAACTTTTATTGACTTTTGTTTATAAATTTCTTTAAAAAAAAAAAAAATTAACGGAGGATACATTACGTAAATATATTTAATATACAAATTTTAAAAATATTAAAGCAAGCCTTTTATAAAATATAAACGAACAATTAAATATTGCTATGACAATTAAATTTCGCTTATTTTTCGGATTTCTTCTCAAGAAAATATTTCATTTCGACATACATTGCAAGAAATTACGTCTGATTTCTTGTAACTGATGTTATAACTCAATATAGTTGTAACAAGCTGATTAAGAGTCTTAAAGGTCGGAAACGTGTGCCTAACTCGGTCATTCTAGCTGCGATCAAAAGCGAGGAAATTGCAAGGAAATACTCGCGAATGGATCTTGGAGCTTGCGTCTATATAAAGAACTTTTCATCAACGAGATTACTTTTGTTTAATAAAATAAATCTGTGAACGGCGTCACAGTTTTCCTGTCCGTTTAACACATCAAATGATGAACAAACCATTTTTTATTCATAAAGTACACAATTACATTTGATATTTTAATCTTACCTTTGCTATTAGTAATAACTGATTCTGATTTAAATTCATCTTCGGAAGAATGGTGATGTTCGAAAAAATAATTATACAGTTAATCAGGACTTGGATAGCTTCATTTATTTTGTATCCCTTTTCAAAATATATTTCTAAACATTTTTCTTGAGATTCATTTCGCTTGCGGAGATATGAATTTCTTGCAACTATCAATATCTATATACGCTATATAATATTCACATTTTACACTTTATAGAACAATCGTTTACAATCGACACATAGAATTTTATATACACACATAACAAAACGACTGTTATTACGATCATATATCAACAAAATATGATTCTTTGGCCATTGTTACTTCTAAGGAACTTAAAATTTTGGAAAAGTGGCAAACGTAATCACGATAGACATCTGAATTTGGGATTCTTAAGACTTATGAGATTTCTAAGAATTCTCAAAATTCTTTTGCAATTGCTTTCAACAACTTTCCTTCTAAGCTTCATAAGACGCGTTCTAAATTCATTCAAAACTCATTCTACAAAAAAAAAAAAAAAAAAAAAAAAAAAAAAAAAAACTTAACGTTTTATTCGTGACTTTTATACATTCTACTTTATGATATAGTCTAGACTAGTATGTATAGAATTGTATCAACATTTACTCTAATTGCAGACTCCTTTTTTTACGATCACGTCTCGAAAAAATGAGTATCGGCATACAATCGATTGATACATCTATATAACGTCACATAAATGTTAAAATATATACAAATTGCGTCACTCACATTCAGCGCGAAACGATCTGCGAGAAACACCAACATTAATAAATCGTTCTCAGGTATTGCATGAACAAATAACAGCAAATTTTTTCGCTAGTATAAAAATGATGATCGTGTGATCATGATATGATTTGTCCTCCTTGTTAAATTAATAAGTTGTAAAAACAAGCATTTTTATTTTTTTCATTACAAATGAGATTCTTGTTATCAAAAACCAAAGTTGTTAAATTTGCGTTCTCATTCCTGTTTCTACGTCATATTAATCTTTCTTTAAGGCTCCTGACTACTCAGCTAAAAACTCCATATTGATGGCGATGACATAATGTCGCGGTAAGAATTAGAAGCTTTTTCATCTTTGTTCATTTTTATCCATTTGTCCTTGTCTATTTTATATTAATAAGCGAAAAGTGCTGACAATGAAATTTTTTATTGCACGTTTTCGTTATTATGTGCTTAATCGTGCAGCTATGACTTGATTCGTAGTTATCAAATTCATAAAAAATGGATGATAACTAAAGTTAGTTGAATTTTGTAAAAGCATACTTTTCACTTCTTTCAAATCGTCTATTTTTCTGTCTGAAAGACAGAATAGATTTCATTTCACGTGCCTTTTATGGCTATCTATAAACTATCAGGAGGAGAAAAGATAGTAACCGCCCATTTTCATAAATGTCTTAAAACTATCTCAAGTATCGTTTTATTCAAATATCTTATTATTTGCAAATTACATGCAATAAATTTCACTGTGGCATTTCTTGCTTATGACGTCATGATTCCAATATGATCACGGCGACTAATCAGGAACCTTAAAGCTCGACTCACTGCATATATATATATATATATATTGGTTTATCACCATATTGGTTTATCATAGTGATATCATAGGCAAAAAATGACGTGCAGTAATTTCTTTGCGACAAATAGATATAGATTTCTTAGTTTTTCCTTAAAAACTATTTTTTGTTTTTCTTTAAAAATATGATAATTTTATCATTTTGAAATTTGTGAAATATGCGGGAAACTGAAACATCTGTCCGATCTATCACGAAAAAGAGTAAAGTAATTCCTTAAATAATGAATCATACTTCAGTCATAATCAGCTGTCACGTTTGAGAAACGACTATAAAACTGACTCGTTATTTCACAAATTATTTTACACTTTTACATGACAGATTAGATAGATGTTTTAGTCTTTCGCATATTTTATAAATTTCAGGATCACAAAATTGTTATGTTTTTAAAGGAAAACTAAAAAAATAAAGCTATACCTACGTCGCAAAGAAATTACTGCACATCATTTCTCGCCTATAACATCATAAAACCGAATTTAGTTGCTCGAGAAAGCCGAATCTTAAGTAAAATAAATCTTCATCTAACTTACGAGAGTTCTTTGTAAATTTTTTGGAATTTGAATCTTTACTTATTCGAGGAATATTATAAAATATCTTTGATTACAAACATCTTTCCCTAGCTCCGTTTGATATTGAGCGGTGGAGCGGAATAGTGATACAAGTCCCATCTTTTTCTCGTTTAAAAAAATAAAGAAATTCATGTGAATATTCGATGCGAATTGAAATCACTTCGTTGCATTACTTTTCTTTCATAATCCGCCAAAGAAAACCATACGTACAATGACGCAAAAGAATCTTTCCGAATAATTACATATTACGTGTAAAAAAAGAAAAAGAAATTACACTGTACCACCTGATCTACATGATTTACCATTACCAAATCATCCTCGCGACGGCAGATTCGTGAATCGGTAAATCCCGCCATACTCCAATTTGTAATCCGACGATTTCTTATCTCCCCTCTTAAGGGATCGGTTTCAAGGACGGGGCGGAGGGATGATTTCTTTGTATGGTCCCGCGGCACAATCATCCTCGGTGTCGAGCCAGTCGTTCGTCATCAACACTGCGTCTGATCGCACTCGTCATGAGAAGAGTCGTCGCCACCGCCACTGCCACCGCCGCCGCCGCCGCTGCCGCCGCCGCCACCGCCGCCGTCGCGTTTGATGAGCACCCGCGTGTGGTTGTTATTGCCATAATTACCCGGCCGACTCGCGGCAATCACCTGCACGGTCTGCTGTGGCTGCTGCAGCTGCTGGTCCTCGCCCGTCAATCGCTTGTTGCAGTCATCGTCCCCCGGCACCGCCGACGCTGCCGGCTGATAGTCACACCTTCTCCTCTCCCGCCATCGGACCTGCGGTCGAGCGGATAAACTGAAACAGTCAACGTTCCATAATGGACTCGACTCGGGCACGCTGCTGTCACTGGCACGATACGGACGGGTCATATATGTACACGTATATATGTATCTCTCTTTCTTTTTCCTCTCCCCTCGCATTTCGTTCTCTCCCTCTTTCCCTCCCGTCGATGACATATGATTAGTGGCCCGTTGCGGCGCGACGTCACCCCATTAAAACGACTGCACATCCACATCACGCGGGTTAGTATGCGTGTGAGTTAGTACGCGGGTGGATTAGTCGCGAGAGAGGGACTGATCGTGTGTGTTAGTCCGCATCGCACCATTGACGAGTCGTGCATACGGGAATTTCCAATCGGCTGGGAATGTTACTCTTTCTCTCCTTTTCTCTCTCTCTCTCTC